TGGGACCCGGGCTGAGCACAGGCATGAGGAATTCTGGCAAATGGTGCTAAAGAAGGGCAACTGAGACACTTGGCTGTCACTCAGCTGCAGCATGGTCCTCACAGAGAACTGCTATCAAGTAACTATCAGCACTTCCCTGCTGATAGATGGGCTGATCTGTGTTCTAGGACTCCACTGTTAAAAGTGAGTCAGTGTTAATACTGACTCACATTTAACTAAAAGCGCAGAAGCTTAGAAATGGAGGGAGTAGGAAGGCACTGAAAATATCTAAAGTCAAAAATCCACACATTAATTGGGCTTTAAGTGTCCAATTAATTGCTATTCCACATCTCTCTGTCCATGGTCCACTTAGTTTTTACCATCTTTGTCCCATTTACACTTAGATTATCTCCCCTGTTCTATTATAATCATGTTTCTCTGTACCCATCCCTCTCAAATTCACTTTTATCCTATTACTAGTATTATTTCTGAAGTGAAACTCTAATAGTTCTATTATTTAGCTCTAAACTTTTAATCACCTAGGAGGTTCCTGAATGAATTATGTTTACTTCTCCGTCTTCTCTTTTGTAAACTATGAGTTCCTTAAAGTTAGGAGCATAAATTTAAAATTCCTCTTTGAATCCATAAAGGATAATAACTTGCTGGAAGACTGTTTTGTGTCATCATCTGCAAAGGTCAATGCTCGTATCTCCCTTTAGCACCATCCATGTAGCTTCACCTGGTCTGCTGTGACCTACTGAATCCCAATGTCAAAGCCAGTGTGTGATACCAGAAGCAAAGGTGACATACAATTGCTGATGTATCTGAACTTGTATCATGCATTAGAACAGATTATAAAATTGCTTCTTGCCCAGCATGATGGTTAACACAGCAGCAAACTAAAGCTCTGTGGCTTTCTCCTTTACTTCCAGTGATGCAGCAAAGCCTGGAATTATTCATTTTTGAAAATATTTAATAGAGATACCCTATACTTTCTATCAACTACAGCTGTGACTCTAATACTTTTTTGAAATAGCTTCAATACGTTTTGGCAATCTCTCAGGACTCTGCAGAGCTTCAACTGTAGTGGGGTAGGATTTACTTTAAAAATAAAAATTTCCTCCCTCTGTGCTGTAATTTCCGCTCCTTTAGCAACCAGTACAGAAGAGTCTTTTCTTTCAAATCAGTGATAGGTCAGTTTTCATAGAATTGGAAAGAGTGCTCAAAGATATACAGAAAATATTATTTTAGGGATCCTGGTTTCTTTAGAACATGACATTTTATTCCAAATATAAGTTTCTTATCTTAACTGGTATAAAATGATGCAACACCTTTTGCAGAATTACTGTGAAGAGAGCTATGATACTAATTATAAACTTTGCTTATAGGCCATGCCTAACATACATGTGCATGCATACATGTACATAAATTATATATACATGTTATACATAAATATTGTATATAATATGGTGTACATACTGGATCTCTTAACTCATGATAAATCCCTCGAAGGAAAAATCATTGTATTCCTCATGGCCTCCTGTTCAAGCTTTGAAAACAGAAAATTCTTGAGAAATATATATACATTGAACTTGTTGATTTAACTTCTCCAATATGTATCTATTAAAATACTTCAAAGCATCTTGACCATTTGCCTTCATCACATGATCTAGACTTTACAGCCATCCAGGCTCTGGTTAACTTCCGGATGTTCTTAATATGTCAGCTGTACTGAACTTCTTCCGGGAAGGAGTTTGCCTACTTCCACCATAGGTGGCTGAGGCCTAAGGGGCTCCTTAGTTGAAAGCTGATAGATGTAGTAAAGATATGTGACTTAGTTGATAATAGGCACTCCTTGAAAAACATCTACATCCATTGGATCTTTCTGCCTACTTTTCATTAGCAATACTTGAGGAGCAGCAATTTTGATAGGTCAACCTGGTAAAGTCCTCTAAAAATGAGGCATTGTTGATCATTCTTGATTTTGGAATAAAATCTTATCCCTGAGACTACCTAACCTGCTTTGAGGAGCAGATATAGAGTTTCATATTAAGAATGAGAGACAGAGATAAAATATCCATTACAATACTTTAGCTAATACAATGATGATACTGTTCAATGTTCAGTTCTCATTAAATTTCCCACAGGGCAATTAGACTTAATATAAAAAATACTCTCAGACCAAAAATACTACTAATCACTCATCTGCCCAAGCAAGAAAAACCCTTCTTGAAGGTTTAAGAGCCAATCTTCCCCCAGCCTACAGATCTGTCATCTTCTCCCAGCTCCTGGGCAACTTTTCTTCGGGCGATATCTTCACCATCTCTCTCTCAACAGTGCCACACCTTTCATTGATCAAACTGGATTTTAATAAATGGCTAATGAAACTACAGTAATGTCTGCTTTTTAAAAATTCTCCACCTATATTTTTAGTCTGCCTTATACAAAGGGAAAGAAAATAAAAATAAAATGATTTGCTCCAGACCTGGCAGAAAAAGAAACACATGGCCCAGGAATGTCTTCTGAGATCGTGATCCATGTCATGTCACCCACTAACTTTGGCTGAACCTATTAGATAAGTGGCCAGAACTGGCAAATACACAACCACCCACATGCTTGGACAAGCTCACCTACACCTTCTTACATAAACATCATACCTATTCTTAATCCCTGGGCCATTTTATTCTGTAGTAACCCTCGTATTCTAATGAAATTTTAGTTAGTTCAACATGAACAAAAAAAAATTTTTTTTTCTTTGTTTAGTTACTCCTTTTATATAACTACTGATAATATAAATGATTTGTGCTTATTATAAACCATTGACTTTCCTTATACTCTGATTTCCCCAAACAAAAAGGAAAGAAAAAAAAATACTACTGACAAGCAAATATTAAAACCAGCTAAGGGAAGTAATGAGATCACCACCTTGTAGAGATAGCTGCACGCCTATGTTCACTACAACACCATTCAAAACAGTCAAGAAATGAAACAACCTAGGTGTCCATCCATGGGTGGACAGATAAAAGAAATTGTGGTACACACATACACAATGCAACATTATTCAGCCTAAGATAGAAGGAGATTCTTCCATTTGCCACAACATGGATATTAAACTAAGTGAAATAAGCCAGACCCACAAAGAAAACTATTGCATGATCTCATCTATTTGTTCAATCTAAACCAAAAAGGTCAACTATATAGAAATAGAGAACAGTATTACCAGGCTTGGGGGAAGGGAGAAGACTTGGGAGCTATAGGTAAAAGGAGACAAAATAGCAAATATGTAGGATGCACAAGTCCAATGATCTAATGTATGCTGTTAGGACTCCAGTTAATAATAATGTATCACATTCAGGAGTTTTGATACATGGTAAATTATAGCTGCTCTTGCTGCGGTGAGTATTGGTGTCTATCGGAAATGATGAACGTGTTAATTTGATTCCCTATAGTAACCATTTTATTACATGTATGTATTTTATAACAACCTTTTTAAAATCTTAAATATACACAATAAAATTTATGTTAAAAAAACAGCCAATGGTATTTTTTTCTTTACTTTTCTTATGAAGTTAAGGTTTACTAAACTGTTGAAGCAGCTGAGGTATATGTTCTCTGCAGATTCTCTAGGTCTGAAACGCAATTTGAGCTCTAAGCTCCCATTCAGGGATGCATTTTTTTTTTCAATTTCTTGTGCCATACTCTTCATTTCACGGGTTTTCTAAATTCCTCAGGCCTTGCCATATTGAGTGCCAGTCACCTTAGTGAAGAGAGGAGAGATTAAACCTCCATGAATTTGGAATAGCAGAGGATCTCAGTTTCAATTCTTTGGCACAGAACCAGGGTCTAAAACCAGCCATGGGAAAAGCTGTTGAAATGGAGCCTGCGATTCTCTCCACGTTTGACTTGCATAATGTTGACATTATAACACCAGAGAGGCCAGAAAATATTTTAAACAATTATGACTTCTTTCTATAAATATTTTGGAATTGCTTTAACAGATAAAACAACATATTTTACCCTTCTCGTTTTCTAAGTTACTCTGGACACCCTCAGCAGCTCCCTATGATGCATTTATTTTTGGCTTGAAGGTCATGCAGGACATCTTAAGGTGCTAAGTCTTCTGTTAAATTGTGTTTTCCAACATGGGTTGGGTGTGAAGGGAGTCAGTGACTCTCCAAGCAACAATTGAATTTGGTTTCATGGAATGCGAGAAATACATTGTTGTTGTTCTCAGCTGAAGCACAGGCAAGGAAAAAAATACAAGTCCTCATGATGATTTTTGAAAAAGTCCCCCACCCAATGAGCAGTTTTCTTTCTGGACCAAAAACAAAAAACCAAACAAACAAACCAAAAAAAAAAAAAAAAACCTCCTCTTGCTTTTCCCTTTCATAACTCTTCCCTGTTTCTGTTTTTTCTATGACACTTAAGTTTGAAAATATTGCAACTTCTCTACAGAAGAAGAGAACAAAAAAGAAGGGACAATTATAGAGACGGCCAAGGAAATTCATGATGCCTGAATATGTCGTTCAACTATTTCAGGTGTCTCTTCCCTCAAACTTAGCCAAATGGTAATCAGAGAGTGAGAGGTGAAATTCATTTAAAACCTGCAATTTCCTGTCTCAAAGAATATGATTAAGAGGCCTGAATTTCAAGCTCTGGAAATAGACAGTGATATCCTAAGTCACCGATGAGCTGAGTGATCAGTAAGTTAATAACCTTCACCACAATTTCCATCTCTCTCCCAGAGCCTGAGGACTGGAGACCTGGGTTGCCTTCAACATAAATGACCTCAGCATGTTATGTAGCATTTATTTTCAATGTAAAAACATCAGATGCCAAAATTGACTATGGTATTCCTCATAAAGCATTCACAAAAAAGCCCTCCCAGTTTATGATTTTAAAACTAAAACAAGTTTCCTAAGCCTTGCATTGTTTAATTAAATCACCCAAAGAATTTGGATTTAACAAAGTTTGGTGCTGTTTTATAACAGTAGGGGTGGGAATAGGAAAGCAGAACTCACCCTCATGCCCAGAAAAAGCATCGCTTGAGCCTGCCAGTGCCAAGGTCAACAGCAGCTGCCAGAGATCCATACCTGTGGGACCTGCAATCACAGAAAGAATATGATGAAGCCAAGCAACAAAAAGTAGACCGTTACCATGAAATACTGTTTAAAGACTGGTGAAACCAGGAATGCACTGACATATTGATTCTAAAATGAAGCCTGGAAACTCTTTCACGGCCCCAGAGTTTCCTACTGTCATACTGTTCATGAGCACAAACGACAGGTTGCAGTAAATTCTACTTCCCGTGGGTGCTCACCTCAGGAAATAGCATGGACACTAGAGATTTCACATCCTGGCTGACAGCCACAGAACCACCTCATAGCAAATAACCCCCACGCACTGCTTCAATAACAGGGCCAGTGTGGTTCACTTTAATTTGGTCCGGAAATAGAAAAAAATGGTCAGCAGTATCATCAGGCATGGGGCATCAAGCTGGAAAGGCTGTTAAAGGATAAACCAAGCAATCCACTGCAATAGTAACATTTCTTAAGTCTGTTTCCCAAGAATCAAATGAGTTTAATTAGCACTCAAAACACTGCTAATGAGCTATCCCAGAAAGGTGAGAAGCAAAAGAAAACACAACATCCACATCGGTGGCACTTTCAAAAGACTCAGGAAGATTAAACACACCAAGAAGGATCAGTTCTGGCCTCCATAGACATTTGGAATCCCAAATGTGAGTTTCATCTCAAGCCGTTCAGTCTAATGAACAAAAGAGCAGAACAACATGCCTCAGTGAGCACACACCTTTATCTGGAAGAAATAAGCTTCTCTGAAATAATTAGCCATGGTTCCTACATCCAGGATTCTCTAAAGACAAGTTTGGATGGCTCAGAAATGAACTCTGCACACTGGCCTTTGTGGAGCTGTTGCGGCATTTGACGACTCCATGTGAAAACACCAGACATCAAGTGAAATTACCACAGCCTCACTGCTGTGTCTTCATTAAACGACACTATTTCCAAGTCACACAGGGATATCTGACCATCATCACCCTACCACCTCCTCCAGGGCCTCTATGCAATCTTAACAATAATGAAATAGCCCTTCTTGCTATCCCTAATCAGGCTGAAATGCTAGCAAGAATGTTTGTTTTCATGGGCTGGCAGGCATGGTCCTCTGCCAATTGAATAGATACAAAATGTCTAATATCCTATACTTTCATTTCTAGACACCCTATCATTGTTTATTGCTTCATACAATTTTATGTTCTTAAAATATTCTTAAGGAAACACATCTCTTTGTAAAGTCAGTATCTTCTTGCATCTGAAAACCCCTGTGCACACTCACTTGAATGAGAAACCCCCTCAAACACTGCCAGAATCCCGAGAACCAAATTAGGGGGAAAAAATCTGTTTTCACACACCCATAGCAGAAAGAGAGATATTTAAAACTGTCATAATCTCAAATGGGAGATGTGAACAGTTCATTGTCACCTGAAGCATCTCATAAAGACTTGAATCTAACTAGTGATAGAACCAGGAGGAGGCTAAAGGAATGTGGTTGGATTCAGTAATGCTAATTGCTTTATTAGAATCAAATGTCTCCATTCCTTCCACTAGTGATGGCTCAGTGGTAATGACTCCCAAAGAAGCACCCTCAATCCTCCCCTAGAGAACTTTCTCTAGAGCTATCACAACCCAGGCCAACAGATATTCTATTTGATTTGATTCTGTGCTGCTCCATCAGCTTTGCAGAGCTCCATATTGCAGCTTCTACATGAGAGAGCCTTCTTTATTAGGTTATAGCTGGGAGAAAATATCCTTAGGAAAAGACAGAGTGCCAACCGACACACAATTTTGGGAACTTGAATATAGCCAATGATGTATCATATGTGAGGAAGAGAAATCTCCCTTCCCCTTGTTCTTTTTGACCAGATTATCATATGTACCCATTACCCCAAGGTATAAGACTTCATCCAAAGAGCTGTCATAAGACACTCTACTTATAATCTAAGTAGAAGCAGGCATTGTTGAGAGGAATCTACCAAATTGCACCTTAGCTTAATAGGGTTTTAAGCTTGCAATATTTTCCTAGGGAAAATCCTACTTTAAATTTGTTGTGATATTTCTGCATTTTTTTTTTACTATAGCCTCATGGCTACAGGGGAAAATGAGCTACTAAATTGAGGGGCTTAAAATTTGAACTAAATGACTGATAAGATTGTGATGAATAAGGAAAAGTGAGAGGGCCTGTAGTGAACTTTTATGGGCAAAATCTCAGTGTGAATGTTCTGGATGTGGGGATGAATTCTGAGTATGTTTAGGGTAACACTCAGAGGAGGCTGAGAAGAGACCAAGGTTCAGAATTGTGAATAAAGGAGATAAAATTGGATTGACAAGGTAGGACCAGACTGAAACAACATTTTCAACTCATAGTAATCAGAAACTCTCTAGAGGTTTTGGTACAGATGACATGCAAAAGTGGGTTTTCCTTAGGATAAAGTTGTCTGGCCAACCTTCTTAACCTAATTTCATTTGGGTACATTGAGGAGCTTTGGTGATGTCTAGATAAGGATATGATAAGAATATCACAAATGACTGAGTATTTGTGTAGATGAAAGATAGTGTGACAGAAATCAGAACTTTGGGATCTGAGTTTTTCAGTGGGAGGAGAAAGTCACATGACTATTTCCGATACTTGAGTATTAAAGACAATTATGGGACTTCAGGAAATGTTCAGAAATGTACAGTGGGAAGTTGAAGATAGGAGAAAAAAGACTAAATAAAATGAGATGACATTAATAAATATAAGAGACAGTTACTTAGAGATAATGAGGATTAGATGAATTTGATATGAAGACTATACTATTTTGTGAAAAATCCCCATATCATTTTTATCAAAAGCAGTATTAAAAATTATATTAAGCTACATGGGAAAAAATATGCCCATTCATATCTTGTTGTTAATTTGGCAGAAACAAAATGAAGTGTAAGGTTGGGAATGTAGCTTAGTGGCAGAGCAGTTGCCAAGCATGTAAGAGGCCCTGGGTTCCATCTGTACCACTGCAAAAATAAATAAATAAATGGAAAGTGGTTAAAAGCATTTTTAAAAGTGTGATATTAACATATTAATATATGGGAGGAATTGAATGATAGATTTAGGAGCCTGGAGTCTGGTTAATGCAAAGTCCAAAAGAATATCACAATGTTAGCTGCACTAATCAGTAAGTTCCCCCAAATTGTTATTTTGCTGATTTGGCTTTCCTGATACTGAAAAAGCAAGAGCCAATTTTCAAAATTCCAGCAGAGACAGAATGGCTTATATTGCAAAACCAAGACTCCAGTTAGATAACCTGATAAATGTGTACTTTCTGATGCTGGTGTTGATTACTAATAAAATATTGCAAAACTGAATTAATTGACTTCCTGGTGAAGCTTTTCTAAGAACTCAGCACAGAAAAAGAAGGGGCTAATACAAAATGGTGTCTGCAATTACCCATTCTTATTAGCCCCAGATGCTTATTTGGACAGTTTGCATTCACAGTTCATGTTTTTTACCTACTTTCTATGGTAGTGATCATTTGAAAATTGGTCAGATCCAAAATGCATTAGGTCAATTTATTTCCTTCCCATTAGTGAAGAAGGAAGCGTTCACAGACACTTTTTAATATAACCACAGTAATGTGCTGCCTAACAATGGGATAGGTTCTGATAAATGTATTGTTAGGTGATTTTATCATATGAATATCATAGAGTGTATTTCCACAGACCTCTTACACATCTATGCTGTATGGTGTGTGAGTGTGTGTGTGTAGGCCTAGGCCATTATGAATAAAACAACAGGGCACAATAAACATGAGACAGATGTGTGAGATTGCTGCTGTTGTGACCTATTTTTTTTCATAAGTAGAAAGTACATACTTTAAAATAATAAAAAATAGATACATAACCCAGAAACAGTCATTTATTATCATTATCAAGTGTTATGTGCTACACATATTTGTGTGTGTTGTCCCTTTATATGACAGGCAGCTCAGTAGATTTGTTTATACTAGCATTGCTACATACACATGAGCAGTGCATTATACTAGGGTAGCATCACAGCTATGGCATCTCTGGGCAATAGGAATGCTTCAGCTTCATTATAATAGTAGAGTACCATGATTATATAGAGAGACTGACATTCACTGAAAATACTTATGTAGTACATGACCATAATTTTATTGAGATTGTTCTTCTCTCTTACATCAAGTAAGGAATAAAGATTGGGAATTTTAAATGTGCACAGTGCTTACTGTAAGGTTTAAGTGAAAAGGGAGTGGTATATACAGTGGATCTTTTACCAAACAAATAAGCATGGATAGTTTATACCAGTGCTGACCAATTCAATTACCACCAGTCACAGGTGGCTATTGAGCACTCAAAAATGTGTCTAATATACCTGAGGAATTAAACACAAATTTAAATTATGTTTAATTGCAATTAATTATTCTAATTAAGCACTTAATTAAGTATATTCAGAACTGATAGGGTATGTGAATCTGCTTTTTTAGCTGTTCATTTTATGAACTCTAAGATAAAATATTTGTGTTGGAAATTTACTAAATTGAGATGGGCTGTAAGTGCAAAATACATACATATTTTTGAATGTTTAGTACAAAAATGACTGAAATGAATCTCAAAAATGTTTACATGGCCTGCATGTTGAAATCATAATTTAGACTATTGAGTTAAAAAAAATATATTGTTAAAACTGATACTCCATTTCTTCTTGTTTTTTAAAAAATGTAATTAGTTGAAAATTTTAAATTACACATGACAGCCCAATTATACTCTTTATGGTTTGTATGTTTGTATTAATATTAACATTTCAAGGATATTAATCTGTGTTATGCTCATATGATGTTAGCAGCTTAATTTTTAACAATGATAACTGAATAATTTTTTTTATTTCTAAATCACATACAGTCGTTACTGGTATGTTTAGAGATCCTCCCAAATTCAGAATGGTGGTGACAGGAAGATTCATGGAAGCTTCTGGTGACTTAGTTTGATCATGTTTGCAAAAGGTTCCTTGGAGGGATTCCCAGTGCACATGTA